ATTTTAGAATTCTAATTTCGCATAACGTTTTCTAATTTTTAATACTGTATACTCTACTCAATGTTTTTCAATTGTTACCATTGGTTTTATTCACATATACCAATGACTTCAAATATTTCCAAATACTTAAGTTACTTCACCGGATTCATTTCTGAAGAGAATATTTAGTCTTCGAAACAGGCTTTAATAACTCGTTAATATTTTTGACAATATAACACTATGTTCAGACAGTCAAATTTCCTTAATTTCATAAAAATAAAATTAAGTTAATTTCGAAAGTGTTCATACTGAACCAAATTAAGCAAATCACATATTTTTTGGTTATAAATCGAATGTTAAAAATTACATGCTCCAAACACTCCCATTGTATCTGGGAAATTTTAAAAATTGATTATTATAGGATAGCATTCAGTAGTTTTATTAGCTTTAATAGATTACAGGCATGTGAATTATTATTTTTACTTTATATTAAATAATTAACAGTTAAAGTTTTTTATCTATATTCAAATTTAAAAATTTGCACTCCTTTCAAAATATTTTCCCGGTTTTATTAAAATCAACTGTCACTGACATTTGTTTAAAAAAAATGTTACTTTTTCGTTGTCTCAACTTTATCTTTTGCTTAAAATGTATCCTACGCATTCGAAATATCCCTTAATTTCAGTTTCAACAAAATTAAGGCCATTTTCTTTAATTTCAATTTAACGTGAAAACTGAATTTTGTATGGAAAAAACAACTTAATTTCGATTAAACGAAGATGAAATTAAGTTATTGGCGAAATTAAGATTTTTTTAACTTAGTTTTTTTGTGACTTAACTTTTTCTAATTTTTACATCTCAACTTACCAATTACTACTAATAATATATAATGTATTTATTAATATTAATGAATTTTTATTCCTAAGTTTTTAATTTATTTAAATTAATTTTGGCGTCTAGTCTGTTACTAATTTTTAAATAATGCACACAAAAACTATTAACTTTTTATTTATATACAAGATATTTTATAATTCCTGTCCCTTACTCCTATACTAAAAGAAAAGTAATGTTATTTTGATTAAACCTAAGTAATTTGCTCACGAAACTGAAATGTTTTCAAGAATGAATTAATTTCCAATTTTAAATGTCAATTAATTGCATATATTCAGGTTGCGGTATGCAAATTATTATTTCCAGGTAATTAAAAATATCTTCTTTTCTTACGAATTTCAATTTGTTTGTAATTCAGTTAATGATCAATTGTGATCACTAAATTTACATAAACTGTAATGCAGTTAACTTTTTCTTTGTATAATAAACTAATTAAAAGATGTGCACACTGCGATCAGACTAATTAACGATATAATGCAATCCGGTAGTGCACTTACATCAGAAAATTTAATTCAAATATTTAGCAAAAGTGATTATTTTTACTAGGGGAAACCTTGTCACGAAATTATTGATTTTTAAATCTCGTTCGTAAATTGACTAGAAAAAATGGGTGGTCTGAGCCGAACTCTGATAACGCTATATTTTTTGTATTACATTTTATCATATTATATGAACTGATAGTGTGATATGTACAGTGAATTTTATAAACTAATAACACATATAAAAAAAAAGATTATATGATTATAAATTTTGCATTGATAGGTAAACAATAATTAATGTTATCTAATCCTTCATCATTAAATCAAAATTTGTTGAAGAAAACATAGAGCAAAACGTCGGGTTCCTAAATAGAAAATATAGCCGAACTGTAGCGGGTCTTCTTCTCGAAATGTTCTAGGAAAAAAAGTAAATATCGATCAAATTTTAACAAATTGAATTTTAAATGTGAGTTAATAAAAATGCTCTTAAAACATTAGAAACCGACAAATGCAGACACAGAAACACCTAAACATATCCTTAGAGAATGCCCCATCTTTTTTAATACTTTTAATAAGAATTTTCCACAAAAAAAATATCCACAACAAAATGGTCAAACATCGATCTTCAAATCACTTAGAATTTTCTGGATATTGCTTAGTGAATAGTCTAATGATAGATGCAGTTTTACTCTTAGTTAATATTTGAATAACTATAATAATTATTGGTGTATACGAAATTGGTGGTCTAAATCGTCTTGTTTAAATTACTGTTATCTTGGTTACCTGATCATAGGACAGTTTATATAGCTGTGATGAAGGCCTTTGTAATGGTGGTGTTTTAAGTTCTCCTGGACATATTCAGGTGGGATACTTAGCTTCATTTGTCATTTGCACTGTTTACATATTTATGATTAGTGTAAATTGGAACTAGTCTTCCAATTTAAGATTGGGTATAAAACAAACTTATTGACTTGTTAACAAACTTGTTAACAAATCTAAAAGATCCAATTAGTTATTACTGAATGCTCAGCTTTGATAAACAGAATTTGCAGATTTTTAGGAAATAGTTTCTTGGAAGTTACTCCAGCCGTTTATCACTGAAACTAAGTAATGTGTTAAACAATATAAATTCAACAGGATGGACTTAGTGTTATCTACCGATGAAATGTTGCAATAAAACAATATATAATCTGTATTTAAGAAAAGCTGGGGTTATGTGTTGAACATATACTTACTTACTACTGTTCTCTTTCCTAATGAGGCATAAGGCCTGCACTAGAATATAGTAGGAGTACATGCCTGAACATATACAGCAACCAATCAACTAACCATAGATATAAAAAAGTTAATAAGAACAATTTAGAATGGCACAAGACTCTCATATATGTGGACCTCACTCTGGACAGATCTTTTTAAGAGTAGTAAACGTAGAGAACAAAATAGCTTAATGTGGCCAAACAGTCAAATTTTTTAACCCACTCAATAGTAGTAAATATAATATCGAAAATATGCACCTCAATACGAAATACACCGCACCTCAATAACAGAAGAAAGATACGTAGATATCCGTATGGGCTTAATAGTCACATTTTATAAAACACTGACCTATAAGACCTAACTATTTCTATTCACCTACCGTAAAAGGTAAAGAGAATATTTCATATCCACTCAAATCAATCAATCAACATATGATGTAGTAATTATTATTATAAAATACTTAAATGTTTACATTGTTGCAATATTATTAACAAAACAATATAATTATATAATAAGTACTTTCAAAAGAAACCTGTTATTTATACATATGCTAAACATATTTAGTATTAAATAATATGTATACATATATAAATAAGATATATTGTACAGAAACTTTGGTGACTGTACCTGATTTAATATTTAAATTAGATTTAACGAAATATACAAGGTGTTCTAAACTTACGCATGGTTGCATTGAACAAGTTTTAAGTACAACAAGTAATTACTGGCCATTTTTTTAATAAATGAGATGAATAATTATTAATTAATTATATTACCATTTTAATTATATATTTTTGAAAACATAAACGTGATACGATATACATATATTTTGAAATTACTTTCAATATTTTATGAATAGCGACTGTTATTATAAACAACAGCAAAAAATACTGTAAGCTTTTTTTTAGGTGGATAACAATGGTACCAGCAACTTTGTCACGTTACGAGTATGAGTCATTTAAAGAATGGTCCTATTAACAACTAATGAATCTGGGACTATTAGAAGCATAAATCTTTGAGAATAATCTTCTCTAAGAACCTCGCAGCTTGGAGAAGTAAATGAAGAAGATATAATTCCGTTCATTGTGCTAGAACTCGTATTGCACATTTCGCCCAATTTTGGGAGGAGGATTAACTAAGCCATTGATAAAAGCAAGAATTTGTCGGATGTCTACAAGTTGATTGGAAATAAAAATTGCCAAAATATCAACTCCGGGTGTGTGCTACAAAACAGGCTTATGAGATATTACTAAAGAAGAACAAGCACTACCGCCAACAAAACCAATTAACCATCAATTATTATGATGTTCAATATTGTTGTCATATGACCAAAGTCTTTAACTTTAAGCAAGCGTCTGCTTAAAGACTTATATAGCCCGGGGAGAAAACAATTTACTAAAATTTTTTTAATAGATTTTGTTTAATTTGTAATTTAAAAATAAACAAAAAAACTTATAATTGCATTCATAAGTTCGTTTGTTTTTAATTCATAAGTAACAACAAGTTGGAAATAGTTGAAATAATTTTGACGGTCTATAAAGTCTTGCACCTCATGTCATGCTTCTTCGCGCCCCTTATTCCATTCATTATACTGTCTTTGCCGTCTGGTGTGTTATGAAAAGTTTTAGTCAATTAACTCTCCGTAACACTTTGTGAAAGGTACTTAAGTTGCGAAAATTAAATATTATTAAATATTATCTAAAATTAAATATTATTATCAGTTTTGATTATAGAATTATAACATCATAGAAGCAACATTTAAAGATTGCTGATGAAGCCATCGGGCATTTTCCCAAATATGAATGTATTAATAATAAAATTATTAATTATTTGCAATGTATTTATAGAAATAATTTGCTATAAGCCGGTATTTAAAATAAGAATGATAGTTTAATTCTAGTTTGGCTATAAGCATTATCAACCAAATACCTAGGGCCAAGCACGTTTACTAATAATGTAGAAATTATATAAATTTGGTATTTTTTTTTAATTTATATTTACTTGCTTTAAAAAGAAAAAAAACTAATAACAAACAATAGACAAAAACATTATTTTTTTTTCTTTATATATTTTTTTTAAATTTGCAAACATATTTTTCTTGCTTTCTAATAAATGCTAATCAATTTTTAAAAATTTTTACGTGCTTGTATCGTGGATTTTTTTCTAAAACTTATTGAAATTGTTGCTTAAAAGCATTGGGGAAATAAATCAATAATTATTGAAAAAAAAAAAATTTTTAATGATAATTGAATTTTTTTTCTACAAATAAAAGTGTTAATACATTATTCCATGTTGTGTCTATAAACTTAGTTGTTTGTAAAGTTGTCTTACATGTTATGACACAATTTATCTATGAATTTGTTTGATTAAACAAATCATACAATCACAGCTCACCTGTCATTCAACTTGGCCCCGGTCATACATTAACATACGAAAATCCTCATAAATCGTATTTTGGGACTGCTAATCGCGAAAGCACCGAACAGTCTCAAGAACCGTCATAACAAACTTCATTACGCTAATAATTTTTGAACAGCAAAACTTCCTGTTCGTGATTCGTCATACTCCCATTGTTTCGTTAGCAACTAAAATGAGTTTTAAAATTTATTATGAATTTGTTATTGATTTCACAACTGCTTTTAAATTGAAGTATATTGTATATATTTAAAATAATTTATTACAGTTTATATGGCATAATTTGTTTAAGAACAAATTACATACAGGGTTACCCATTTTATGCTTCCGTAATGGAACGTAAACATCACAATCACTGGTGATTAAGATTTCGAACAAATTTTTACTTTTATATATTGTATGAACAAGGGCTCTCCAGCCTAAATTAGTTCATGGGCCAATACAAACTAATGAATAGGTTGGAAGGCCGCAGAAGTACCTTCTTCGTACATTCATAATTTTTCCGGAGAAAAATAAATATATGGCAATAATGTTAAATTTAGTTTTATTGAATCTTCATTAAAATATCTTTTACAATTCTTTCAATATCACAATCACTGGTGATAGAAATTTCGAACAAATTTTTACTTTTATATATTGTATGAACAAGGGCTCTCCAGCCTAAATAAGTTTACGGGCCAATACAAACCAATGAATAGGTTGTAAGGCCGCAGAAGTACCTTCTTCGTACGTTCATAATTTTTCCGGAGAAAAATAAATATATGGCAATAATGTTAAATTTAGTTTTATTGATTCTTCATTAAAATATCTTTTACAATTCTATCAATATCACAATCATTGGTGATTGAAATTTCGAACAAATTTTTACTTTTACATATTGTATGAACAAGGGCTCTCCAGCCTAAATAAGTTCACGGGCCAATATAAACCAATGAATAATTTTGCCGCAGAAAAATAAAAATATGGCGATAATCTTAAATTTAGTTTTATTAATTCTTCATTAATGTATCTTTTACAACTTCATCAATATCAACATTATTAATATAAGTTGCGGCCATACGAAAACTATCATTAATGTAATGACTTATGGCATTAGTTTTTTGAACCAGTTGTATAAACAATTATATACTAAAGTCATTGTCAATAAAGTAAATTAACGTAAAGTGTAATAAATTATTTAAAACATAAAAAGAAAATAATGTAATTTTACCAAAATATAACACAGAAAAACTTGCCTAATTGTGGTAGATTAGAAAGCTGTTGCGGAAATATAAACCGTTGGCCACGATTTGGACCTTGCCATTGGGTGTGGTATCCAAAACTAATTAAATATAACTTTTACCCATATAGTTAGCAGTACTTCGATTATAACTTGATGTATGCTTGTTAAGATGATTCATAAAGTCGAGAGTTTGAAGAATATTCGCTTAAACATGATCGTTTGCATTACCCCATAAAAAAGTATATAACCCTATGAATTGTGTGAGCCAATTCACATCACCAAAACACGTCCAATAAATTTCTGATATAACAAAGCCAAGATGGATCAATTAATTTCCTATAATATAAACAGTAAAGAAGTAAGAATACAAGAAGAACAAAATCTTATTTTAATATTGTGGGATATAAAAAGTATCTGCCGGTTTTGGTACATTTTTAAATTTTCTCTATTAAAAATCAGTTTATATTGACCATTGTTATTGCCACTATTTCCATAATTCTATCAGTATACATTATCAGAATATATTCTGTGGTTTATTGCCAAAAAACTTAAACCAGTAGTTTACAGCGGCTTTTCGGTTGTCCAGTTTGTTTTCTATTAAAAGAGTTTTTTCGAAACCAAAATACATATTAATCAGAAGTTTGTGAGCAGTAGAGTAACGAATTAAAAGTTACACCAGGCTAATGCTGTAAATTCATTCTCAACCTCACCAAACACTTAATGTAAACTTGTTTGCTGTCAATCAAGGTTTCCAAGTCGTTTGTGGAGGGTCACAGGTTTTTAACCAAATCAAATTTAATTTGTACTTAATTTAAATAAAATTGAATAACTCACCATTATCCTTTGTGTATAATTGACTAAGGAAATATTAAGAAAAATAATAACAACAAAGACAAAAGAAAAAAAAAAAGAAAAAAATTAGAAGAAATAATATTTATTAAAATATTTTCTTGATGGCAACAAATAAACAAAAACGATAAATAAAAATTTACATAAATAAAAAAAAATAAATAATAACAAATTAATAAATAAAACTTTAGGATCTTAAAATTACACCAAACAGAACACCTGAAACAACACTAAATAACGTGCTTAACCATACCACGTTTCTGCTGTTAATAACAGCCCCTGATGCGGTGTAATCAGTTTCCGGAAGACGTGCCATTGCAGATATTTGTTGTTCATTTAAAGTGGGTCGATAATTCCAATCAATCATATTTGTTTTGCAGATATGAGCGTAAACTTGTGCTGAAATCTTTGGAGTTCGGGTACGATTAGGATGTGTGAAATCCACATGATATAAACCAAATTTTTCTCTAAAAGTAACAGAGATTAATAAAATATGTTAAATATTGAATTACAATAAATAAAGTATTAGTATATACATTTAATCAATTTTATTTTTGAATTTTTATTAAACAATAATATATATATCATAAATTATATCATATATAATAGATATCATAAATTAAAATAACCACCATAAAAATTTGAAATGTCACGCTGCCTAATGTATAAATCGTCCTACAAACCTCAACTGAAAGACATTATAAAATTAACTCTTTCACTCCAAATACGCAAGCAGCGTAAGCTGAAATATGCACAATAATGTAAGCAATAGTCTAAATGCAAACTAACAGTAAAAAACAGAAAAGGAAGTTAAGTTGCTATTTAGCAGCACTAAAAGCAGAAATAAAATATAAAATAAGAAAAATATGGTAATGAAAAATATTAAAAATAATATAAAAATAAGTTTTTGAATAATAATACAATAAAATAAAATAATTTTACAAAAAAATGTCCTATAAGGATGTCGGTGTAAACTATTTTAATGTGAAAAATTAATAGCAGTAAAAATATGGAATAAAACTGATTTATTGTTCTTCTTAACAAACTTAATTTTTATTTTAATTTTTATCTGGGCTTAACATATATGCACTTGTTATCACAACAATAAAAATAAGAACCGCATTAGTCAGACTGTATAATTTTTTCCGTGAAACATAAAATTAAAATCCGCTACAAATAAATTAATTATACTTTATTTATAAACTTACGCGAATCCAGCTTTCCATTCATAGCTATCCATTAAACTCCAAGCAATATATCCCTGAATATTAGCACCATCGTCAATTGCATCCAATACAGATGTCAAATATAAGTTGTAGTAATCAACACGATCATAATCTTCCAAGCCACCTCTGTCACTAACCCCATTTTCAGTCACTATAATGATTGGATCATTGTACTCATTTTTAATCCACATCAAAAGATTGTACATGCCCTTTGGATAAACCTGACAAAATGAGATTATATCAATATACTAAGAAAAGTTAAACAAAAATAGTTAAAAGCATACAAGAAAAGTCATATACATAAAATCTTACACAATGATATCTTTATCTCCAACTACATGGAGATAAAGGCTCTTCTTTCTACATATATTTTTTATTAAGAATACATTTTTCACTAAAATTTTCAAAATAAGTGTATCTTAAATTACAAGTTTTTCAGGGATACTCTAATAATGAAAAAATGGTTTTCGTAGAATTTTTAAATTTATGTCAAAAGGAGTTCATTGAACTTATACGCATAGAACACATTAGAAAAAGTAGAACACAACAGCTTTTCGCATCCTTAAGCATAGCAACATCTGCACCTGTAATCACATCCTTTTCATTGTAGCATTCCTGTCTGTAGCTTTTACCTCAAATTACTTTTGCTCTAGCCTCCCCTTGTGCGCTGAATTGCAAATTCACATGGAATTGCTTGTTCATATCCCACGAGAACGTGTCAAAAATTGAATTAATTTCTTCTTGTTACCAGCTTGCACTATTGTTAACATCCTATGCTCCCCAATATCCCAGCTCGTATACAATAACAACTGCCATGGAGTCATGGAAGGAACAAAGTTTAAAAGACAAACTTTATGCGACGTGATAACTTCTATTTGTGCGCTAAGGACACAAGGACCAACCAACCTACCAAACAAAATAAAAACCATATTTTCAGTAGAGTACTTGAGATTCTTGGTAGCTTCAAATATGTGTTTAATTACTTCCATGAGGGGAGTTTGGTTCTACTCAATACATTTGATAAATGATTTTTGACGAAGCACATTGAATGCCGTTTATTAGCATCTAAATTACAACTGTCGAAAATGAAATTTAATTTCACTTATGCAAAAGTTTAGGATTCTAATCCTATCACAGTTTACCAATGTATAAGATAGTAATTAAAGATGTAAAAAATAGGGGAGGGATATATAAAAATTGAACAGAAAAAAGTCATTATACAGTTATTATAGTTATTACAAACATTATAAAAATCTTCTACATATATAAATCTTCTACAAATCTTCATTTCAGTACCCATTTCAGTATACCCGTAGTATTTTTGGGTCTCTCTTCATATAATAATAATTTTAACTTAACTAAATTTAAGTGGACTAATTACGAATTTATATATATATATGATGTTGTTTTATATGCTTGGGAACCCATCAGATGATGAGACACAAAATTCAAGATATCAACACTTAATTATTTCTAAGCTTAATAATATGACATTATTATATAAAATAATGTCCACGCTTTGTAACAAGTATAAAATTTATCAAGAATAGTTAATAGATTTATTTTAATATTAACAAATATACCTTTAACCATACGGAACCAGATCCAGGCCAGCTAGGATCTTGTGTTTCTATAACTCCCATATCATGATTGAAGGACGGTACTGGAAAACCTGCTGTATTATTATGGCTATTTTTTGTAACCAAATTAGTTGTGTACGTATTAATGCCAAAGAAATCGGATGTACCGCGAATACGATTAATCTCCTCTCTTGTAAATTCAGGTAAACGTGATCTGGTAAATCCTTGTTCTTTACTTAAATTTCTAATGCGTTCAATCATAACTGGAGGGTAATTGCCTTTCTTACTAAATATGGGATGACCGTACCAACCGACCTTTAAATTAAAAAAAGAGAATTAAAAATAATACCTATATAGTTCATATAATTAATAATGACTGAGTAGTAAATAAAATTTTTAAGCAACTTCGATATAAATCAATAAATAAAAATCATAATAAAAATTATCATAATTTTAAAATAGATATTCTTGAACTAAAACGTTCAAATATTTATTATTTTTGAAACTTCCATAAATCTAATTAGCTTATGATTTAGAATACAAAACTCGATAGTAAAATATGTTGAGTAATGACTCCTGTTATATGTTAGCTAAAGAATACGTTATAGGTAAATAAAAGTTCTAGAACAATGTAATGGCGTTTTTGATTGGTAAATCTATTTTTAATCTAGATTTTCTCTCGATCTGTTAAATTTTGTTGCTTAATCGAACATTTTTAGAATAATAATTTTTTATAAATACATATATGGAATCAAATCGTAAATCATATTAACTGTTAATTTCAGAATAATCTTGCTACTCTGACAAAATACCATTTCTTCCATATCTCATAGATGATTCTTAATCTATCTCTAAAGCATGCTACTGCATTTTTCAAATAATTAGATTTTAGTAATTGATGATTCTTTTAAATGAATATTTCTTTAACACACTATATTTTAGTATATATGAATTCTCTAAATTTTACGGAACGTTCTAATTAAATATTTTGAACAGTTATGCTACTGGACTAGATGAATTTAACTCTTTGTATAGGTACACATATAATTATAAACATATAAATGGCATTAGAAATTAAACATTTTTTCGATTTACTTACATAAAACTGCATCGCTTGTTCTGAAGCAGCATGATCTTCTGGAGAATTTGTTTTTGGCTCCGGCCATGAAACATCTAATGTAATACCAATTTTACCTTTTTGTGAATTTTTATAATTATCACGATACATATGCACCACTTCAGCATGTGCTTTTAGTAAATTATGTGCACAAAGATAACTTGGTATGCCTGGATAGTTAAGTGAGGGTGCCATATAATCAACACCATATCCATGTTCGCAAACATGCCATGGCTCATTAATAGTTGTCCAAATTTTAATGCGATCTCCGAACATTTCAAACAATAAACGAGCATAATCTTTAAAAAGAGGTATAATTTCAGGATTGGTCCAACCACCTAATTCTTGTAAGCGTTGTGGTAGCTCCCAATGATAAATAGTAACCATAGGTGTAATATTATAATGTAGTAATTCATCAATTAGATTACTATAATATTTGATGCCATCATTGCTGACTTGATTCATGTAGCCTCCGGGCATAATACGTGGCCATGAGATTGAGAAGCGATAGATTCCGACATGTAGTTCGTGTACCATTTCCACATCTCGACGCCACTAAAAAATAAATTATTACATAATGTCGGAATATATAATATAGATTATATATATATATATGTATATATATGGTACATACTTAAAAAAACTGAGTTTTGAATATTAGTATATATATATATGCATAACAACATTTCTGAGAATATTATTGGTTATAAAAGGTTATAGGCTATATCTCAACCTGATGAAAAAAATATAAAAAATGTTTTTTTATGATAAAAAAACTGAAAATGATAATAAAAATGAACAAAGAAAAAACTGTGAGAAATGATGAGAAAAATGAAACAGAATAAATTTGTTACATAATGTATGGTAATAAACATTTAAATAAACATTTAAGGAGGAACCAGAAAGGAAAACACCAGAACTATGTAGTGCAAATTCTGTTTTAAAAATTAATTAAAATTTAAATGGCGAAATGCTATATTTGTTTAATAATCTTCATGTAGTTCTAATGATGCATTTGATTTCCAAGTTATCTTTGTTAGCAAAACTTATCTACTACCATCATCCATGTCTCGTTGCTTTCGCGATCCCAACTATTCAATCTATAAGAAGCCTTTCAACCGCACTTGTAGCAACAACCCCATCCCCTTCATTTGACTATTTTACATGTTTTTTACTTTAGATGAACATAGTCTTCTAAGTACTAAGTCCATTCATCTCCTACCTCACTCTTGATTACTGGAATGGCAATCATCTTCACGGTTAATGGATATAATTTTCAATTTTCATTCCTTAGGGGTTTAAGTGAGTTAAAGTTTCACACTGCAACCTCTGATATTCTCCACCTTTCGGCAACAAATTAACGTGAACATGATTCCGCGATAAGATATTATATTGACTTAGCTTATTATCCGAGATAGCGTTGCCACATTTTGTTGTCAAATGCGTATTAAACATCATTTTTTAAATTTTAAATGGAATGTTAAATAGAAAGAATAAAGAATAAAATTAAATGTGGTACTGTCTGTGCTTGCTGAGCAGACTGTATGTGAATTTCAAAAGATATGTTGTATCAAGTACGTGCTTTAATACAAGAGACCAATAGGCCTAAGTGGATACCCTAGGGATTGCTGCTATAACCTAAGTACGTGCAAGGCATTGTTACCATTTAATGCTGTTCTATTCGCAAACTTCTATAGTTTTGCCATATTGAACACAGCAAATATTTGTTTAAAGATGTTTTAAGTAGTTAATTATAATTAACAATAGGTTAAATGAAGCTTGAACCGATAGCTTCATTTTTGCAAATTGGTCAATATGTTTGTAGTATGTTTGTAGTAACGGTCGGGATACTAAACTCGAAAGATATTTAGGACTTTATTTTCTATTTTAATTACAGTAGAGTGCACTGGGCTTTCGTACTTATATTAATTAATAGTTTATTAAATAAAAATTCTTTGACGCTAATTGAAGTAACTATTTAAACATTGATTTTAGGTTTCAAGAATGCAATATAGTTTGAAATGATTTGACATAACTGTCAGTAATTGTGTATATTTACATTTAAACAGCTGCTATTTTAGGTAATATATGTAAGTGAACACCTCTTCAAGCAAAGATTTTTTACACGCGCGAAATTTATTGCAAATACAAAACAACGTCTGAAACCTGAAAGCAACTTCATGTGATTCTACACAGTAAACAACATTTTTAAATAATTTGCATAATTATTATTATATATTCAGTGCACCCACAATTATGTTACATACATTAGTTTACATCGATTATGACACTTACTATCTGCCATTTGGAACGTAATTACTACTCTATTAATTAGTTTTTGTGACTTCTACAGAAGCACTTCAGCCACTTCAGTCACTTCAGCCACTTTTTGATTTTGCAACAATTTATGGAGAACAACTCCGAACAAGGTTAATCACTTGGAAGTGCATTAATGTAATTAAATATTTTTAAATTATTAAAATTATTTTGTATGAAAATATTTTGCAATTTATTTGATGTCTTATTAATTTATTAAATTAGTTAATTCGCTGAATAAAGTCAACACGTGCAAGAGTTGCAGGTCTGTTGCTAAGTCTTTGGTATGTTCTTCAGAACCAGTTAGGAAAACAATTTTATATATAATAGAATGTAAAATATGTAAAGTAATTATTAACTTGTTTTTATATTTTAATTAAGTTGAAGATAATAGTATCATTTTTATATATTCACATAGGCCATTTAAAAATTTTTAGCAAAATTTAATTTGTATCTTATTTTAAAGAAATACGTAAAATTATAGAAATATTAGAAAAAAGTACACTAAAACCGATATATCCTATAGTGTTATATTTAGTAGTTCTAAGTGTGAGCATAGATTAAGTATTTGAGACAAGTCTCCAGTCATTGCTTAATGATTACTTTACAGAAATGCCCACAAACAGAGAATTACGGGAAAAAATTAGACTAAAACAAATCTCTCCTATATTGTTAAATTTAGAAGCTCTAGAAGACGAGCATAGAATGAGTATATAAAACAAGTCTCCAGTCATAGCTTGATGATTACTTTATAGAAATACACACAACTAGAGAAATATCGGAAAAACTAGACTAAAACAAATCTCTCCTATATTGTCAAGTTTAAAAGCACTTGAAGATGAGCATGGAATGACTATATAAAACTGAACTAAAACAGATGTTTTCGATATTGTTGCATTGTTAAGGAATAAGAAACAAACATAGGATGTAAATGTAAATCTCCAGCTATTGCAAACTTGTCCGAGATTAGATGTCAGCAAGATTGCGTCATTAAGGGAGTTATCCAAAAAGATGGCTGAAAATATGAACATCAACACAACACTATTTTTTATGCCATTTTATTTTTATAAAGTGTTTTGTTAATTAATTATTTTAAGATCTGTTTTTATTTTTACTCATTTGTACATATCCATGTACATTGGCGTTAGTCTATATTAAAAGGAGAAGAAAGAGGAGAGGTTCCTATCTTAAGATATCATTATCTAAGAATGCATATAGGTTCCTTTAAATTTCAATATAATTTTGGAATTGACCCTTTTGAGGTTTTCAGGTTAGATATCTACACTGAAGATAATCATATTACAACAATATGTTATATTGTTTGGCCATTGCCATGAGATGTAAAATACAACATTTTTCAAATATCCTCAATAAAACATTTTAGAGTAGTTGATTCTTTTGTGGCAGCTTCGATGAATTGTCGACACATAGCTGGCAATAGTTCAACGGATGTTTCTTTTGATAGCGTTAAGAATTTGAAAATGTTTTTAAATATATAGAATGTTTTGCGTAACCCAACACAATAGTGCTGACAAATCATATGGTCTGGGTAGCCAATTCATATCATAAAAACGTGATATTACAAGACTGGGAAATATCTCCTGCAACAACACGAAAACAGTAAACACTTGTTCTCTATATTTACATTTTCAGTTCTAAGTCAAAAAAAATAATAATCATGTGGTTATATCAATCAAAATTTACAATTTCAGTCACAACCTTCGTCATTTACAAAAAAGCGGGCCATTAACATTTGCAGATACAGTAGTCTTATGAAAGCTTATAGTGCAGTTATTACTGCGTTTGATGCGACAATTTTGTTTGTTGATATATCCGATGAGCGTCAACATTGTATAAATTTTGATGTGATATCTCATTATCATTTTTTTATAATAAGTTTTAACAATTTTAACACGTTCAGCGGCTGTTAAACGATTTACTTTAGAAAATTAATACTCTTTACTAAACATGTAATGCCTTGGAAAATAGTTCTGTTTAACATATATTACTAAAACTGTGTTTGGAAATTTGGGCTACGAAATGAATAACCTGTTATTTAAGCAATATATAAAGTCTATATCTCGAAATGTATAACATAGAGAGAATTATAATTACTATATGGAGCTTGAGTTTATTAATTTATGTGGTATTTCATATACGTTATTGACATCACGTCTGTTGACTAGACATTCTGATAACCTTAGCAGAAACACTGTAGTCTTAATTACCACATGAAGAATATTGGTGCGCTAGAAAGTGATTCCTGTCGACTCTGTCAAGAGGAGAAGAAAACATCAGAACATATCCTATGCAACTGCTCAGCGGCTGCAAGACGTAGACTCGAATATCTTGGAAGCGGGATCTTACACCCAAATCAAATAGGTAACATTAAGCTCACAGCAATTACAAGATTTATAAATGGTCTAGAATGTGGGCCTTTTGGCAAAAATAGATCTTTTAGGTCGGGGTGCATACATTTAATAATTATAATAATATTATTTAATAATTATAATAATAATGTATTCTGAAGAATATTATCGAACCTTAATTCTTATTAGTAGAGTAACTTTTTTATGAAAAGTATCTTATAACAGTGTTCCATTCAAGACAATGTTTGCCAGCCAATATATGGAATAGATATATGGAATAGTATAATGGAATAGAATAATTCACCACATTTTTGAATGTGATAACTAATGTTTTTAATATTTTAATATTAATATATTAATTAATACTCATAATAATCTTTTGACTATATAAAAATTTAAAAATATTTTTGTTTATCACAAAATTCTTAATTAAACCAATTTTCGATTAAACGGTCCACATTCTTAGTTCCAGCAAATATTTGTAAATTTTTTATGAAACTTGCACAAATAATTCCTAAAGTAAATGCATGTATTGTACATATTGTTAATGTTGTGACCTGTAATTATTAGTTTTGTTATTATAGTGGTTTTTACTATTTTAATAAACAATGTATAATTAATAAAAATTTTTGTTTGATATTTGCTACAGCATTTTTACGCCATATGCGAAGGTGTTTCGAAAAATTAGAATTACAGCGGCAATTATATTAATCCACTTAATTGAACTCTAAGCCGATGTGTATTATGGCAGTGGCTACAGTATGTGCTTTGCTATATTATTTTCTCAATTTAATTATATATAATTTGTATGTCTATTAATAAATTAACACTGTAACGATTGATTACTTAACATAGTCTTCGATTGCAATGCTTAGGCGCTGTTTAAACTTGATTAACTTTAATCTTGTTATTGTTGATTGAATTAACTTTTGCTAATTGCTTGCTTATACAATAGTAAATCAAATAATACCGATTAATAATTATTATCATAAAACATAAATTAATAGCAATCAGTTTGATGTTGTAGTCTGAGCAAATTATAATCCTTCAAGGTATCCGCATGATAAGCGCAGAGATTAAAAAAAACTTACCTCTTACTGAAAAATTCTTGCAAACTTCACTTAATTTATTGAATGTTTTTTTTTATAAATAACAAAACACCTGCTTCATTTCATGTACATATTAATATTTATCAATAAAATTAGCTTAACAAATTATTCGATAAAATTGCTAATTCATTTTTTATTTTCTGATAAATGGCGTTTACACATCTGGCCACGGATTTACAAACTTCATTATAAAATAAGCAGTTTAGCATATGTGTGACGTTTACACTAGTAACACGCATGAGTGTAGGAGTGTTAAAAACCGGATGTCTTACAAAACTTCATATGATAAAGAGATATTTATCAAACAATTAAACAATTTATGTTGTTAGTTAAACTTTGCAATTGATGTAAAAAGTACCCGGATTTATTAAATAAAACACACAAAGAATTAACAGTCAATCAAAATTTATTTTTTTGCCTATAAAATAAATAATGCTTGGCCTATTTCTCTCTGCGTTTTTCGTAAGGTAATTAATCAGTGGTGTAGCCAGGATTCTTCCAAGGGGAGGTGTACCAGAAAGAAATTTTTTATTAGTATTTTTGCAGTATATTACATGTGATTTATATTGTCAAAGTGGGGATTTAGTACCTTAAATCCTACTCCCTCTAAATACGCCACTGTGATTGAGGTATGGACTTCAAATCTTACGGCGAGTTTTCATATATGGCTATAATTGACTCAAAATTTGTGGTAACTTTAGTTTCGAAAACAAAAAGCAAAAACAGGGAACTATGTCACGACTATGTCATATGATGCTTACTAAGCATTACTTACTATGAATATTATTGGTAAAAACTCCTGCAAGCAGCTGTATTTTGGTGTGTATTTTTTGGAATAATAATTACGGAATACTTTGTATACTGAATACGACTATGTACACCTGGACATGAGAAATATTATACAAACCAATGTATATATTTTTTTTACTAAATCCAGGAAATGTAGAGAAACCCTACTATGCCACTTCGTTTCCTACAAATACAAAAATGATAGGTTTCATGCTCGCTAAGGTTTTTATAATTGCCAAAGACTAGCCAATTGTTTAACGAACTTGGGCAATTGATTGGAAATAGAATAGATTGAAAACAATTTGCAAAAACCCTTCTAATAGAATATAGATATAAAAGTTATAGAATTAGAATGTGAACAATGTATAAAATAAAATAGGATTGCTTGAATTTAAAGGCGAGTCTGCGACAGACTCCACATACACCACCTATGGGTTCTTTGTGATACAAAAGAAGTCTTATTTTTAGAATTTGTTTTCTCAAAGTTTTTATAAAACTGTATTACTGAATCAAAAGCTTCCTCTATCATTTTAATCAATTTCTTTTCTAAGAAAATTTTGTGTAAATATATATTGACAGTAAAGGTTGGCATAATTGTTTTACCACTTATATTGTTTTGATATAGAGTATTTATTATTAGATTCGGTTGACAAATATGATAGTCAACCACTTGTGGGATGTTTTGGACTTTCCTGAAACGTGTTGGAGATACGTGCTTCTTAGGGATATTTTGAGTGTCCTAGATGTGGTGTTAGTTTTTTTATACAGTTTATTCTAAGCGCTACTTTGACAGCATAAGCAAAAGTTGCTTAATTGGTTTGATAGAAAATATTTAGTGTATAAAGCTTTAGAGAGAAACGGCCTTAAGTATTCTGCAATAAAGAGACAGGTTGTTTTTTTGAATTCAATTTAGTTTTGCGACCTTACTTTTCCTTTCGAACGATGGTGACTACGCCGAAGAGTAATATCGATTTGACGATCGAATTATCGAAGTAATAGACAATTTTATGTTTAAAGCCCCAGATTGCTGGGTTAGAGACTTGCCTTTAATATTTATGGAAGAATATATATTATTTATTGCCTTTTCGAGTAACAATATTATTAGCATATATAATACCAATTAATAGAGACTAAAAACAGAGATTTCTTTAATAAATAACATTAACACAAGTATTCAGTTAACATAAATTACTTGGGTTCCTCGAAATAATAGGACTAAGCAAGGACTTTTGGTTTAGTATGAATACGCAGAACTTAAGAAAAATTAGCTGTTTGTATTTATCAGTATATCAAAAACAAAACTAGGTCTTATAAATAAAACCAATAAATTTAAAAATATCAGACAAAAGTATAATGTGGGGGTATGTTGTAAAGTGTTCAATGTAAATGCATAATGCTCATTTGTTAGAAATTTGAATTGAAACGCTTCTTAAAAGAACGTTATTTAAATAATTATAATTATGACACATTTTATTAAATTAACATATTTTAAATAAAATATGGAACTATAAACCTAAATGTCCACCTGTTGCAAAAACTTTTTTAACAATTCATTCCACCTGTTGTCATAAAAAGAATAAATTATTTAATAGTAATTAAGGCATTAAAAATGGAATCGACTTCTCTTGAACTTGAGTCATAACTTTTAAAAGTTATAAATCAGTTCACGGGAACGCCTTTACCAAGCGAAGTGATTGTTGGAGAATTAATAGTGCCATAAATTTCAATTTTTATTAGAGCAAAGTTTTTATAAAATATAACTAGTTTATGTAAATAGAAATAAATATTAACAATATACCCAACTGTCAATATGCAGATCAGACTAGTTTTTTTTTTTAAATTTAAATATAGAAAGCTGGATAACGCTTTTATTATTTTGTGGTTTATATATCAGTAAGATATGACTTACTTGATGAAAGCTATCTGCAGTTGTATCTGCATTTGATTTGTCATCAATCTTCTCTGGATAATTATGTGTTAAATGATCCCAAATAGATTCGCCTTTATCGTCTGCATTCCAGCCTCCTTCTATTTGATATGATGATGATCCAACACCCCACAAAAAATCTTTAGGAAAACGTCTTTGAAAATTTTGATTAGAAGGGCTAAAATAAAAAATATTAACATTATATTATAATAATTAATATAATACAAAGAAACTTTAATTATAAATAACAACAAATAATATTATAAAAATTATATATGAATACACAGAATATATACTTTTAAAGTGTTCTAACCGTATATTAAAATATAATCCAAAATTTATAAAAAAAGCCTGGATTATTCTTCAAATATGTTTTTACAATCTGCGTAAAAGTAACTAGATTTATTAAATAAAACTAAAAAAATCCATCGATTAAAATTTATTTTGTCGCATATTAGGATCTACTCTATGCAGTACAACTATGCTAATGTTTGAACTAAAGTTCCATATAATATTCGTAAACCTTTAACTCCATCAGCGATTTTTCTTTAATACAACAATCGGCAATCTATGGGTTTCTTAAAATGATTACTTAGCTCAAAGAATAGAAAAAAGGTGCATGCCTCTTCCCCCTACAATTAGTTTTCTGGTAAAAATTGGTAACAGTTTTCTGGTAAGAACGCACTGAAGTCATTAAAAACACAAGTTATCGAAAAAATTGCGCTGGTTTTGTTTCGACAAGTTTTTTAAATCGTACATTCCGGCAACTTTTTATAACATATATAATAAATCTTTATCCTTTATCATCTTTTGAATTTGATCATATTTGATAAATGTCGTCAGTTGTATGGTATTAAAGTAATGAAAGACTTACCAACTCGACATCTTAGTATGCGCTAACATACCCGTATCCACAACATATGATTGCTGAGATTAGAAGTGTGTGAACATTTAAGCTCACCAGTAATCTAAAACTTCTCAATATAATATGTTCTGGCTTAATGCAATACTTAGGTACAATGTTTACTATTCCCTTAGAGATTAGAGGTAGGTACATAAATTAGCGAGGTCGTCTGCTTTCTTACATAGCCACCGTTGCACGTATTCTAAGTTGGCTGTTGTGGTACTACATGATTCGAATAGGAACCCTAAAACAATATCTGTTATCAATATCGATGAAAACTTACTTGCGGCACAAAAAATACATTAATATCGCAGTGATCTGCTCCACTTGGAACTTCTGTTTCTATTCTCTTTTAAGAATTGTATATAGATATTAAAATAGTAAAAGAAAATTTATTCATAAATGTTTATACATATTGGTTGTAATAGTTTGAAATTCGTTTGCTCTGCCATCTCATCAATATGGGTCTGTCTGAGAAAGTAGAGATGTTTTTTCTTAGTTAGAGGCAGATGAGTTTAAAAGAATAGTTTTATCATGGTGAGTGTGTTCTTTTTCGGCTTGATATCAGAATATATTTTGCGTGGGTTATGCAGACCTTTATTCGATTGCTGAATATCTTTTTTTTGGTTAGGATCGGTTGAATAACTAACTAACCTAGTGCTGTGTTTCACTTAAATGGTAATCATACATTTTATTAAGTTGGATTTTAATTTCTTGAAATATTTAAAAAATCAAAAGGTTTATATGTAAACTTGAAGGGGTTTTTTAGCTTTAAGGTCTCTATTTGTAGACTAAGAATTCATAATTTTTTAATATTAATTTTTTTTTGTCGAACAGTAATGGAAAGGTTCGAACAGTAATGGAAAAACAACCAAATTAGTTGTAATTTATTTAAATTTTAAATTTAGTTAATTTATTTAAATTTGATTGACCATACAACGCTATTTCGAGTATTGCCAAGTACTTATTATCAGTGATATTAGGAAATAATCGAATTTTTATTTAATTAGTTTATAATATGTATATAATTTGTTGGACTGCAAGTACCAAGTTTAAAACTCGTGCCTATCAATTTAGAAACGATGACTAATCGTGTTTTCCCAGAGTAGCCAAGATTCGAACCTTTGTCATAATTTTTTTTTTTGATTAATCTTGGCATTATCACTAGAAATATCAAGAATATATAAAAATATATAATTTGTTGGACTGCAAGTGTCAAGTTTAGAACTCGTGCCTGTCAATTCAGAAAAGTTGACTTATCGTGATTTTCCATTGTAGCCCAGATTTAAACATTTGTTAATTTTTCTTTTTTTTTGATAGATCTTGACATTATTAGTACGGAGTTATACTAGAAATATCAAGAACTATATTTTCTATTAAGAATTTATGAGTACATAATTTGTTGGACTGCAAGTGTCAAGTTTAGAACTCGTGCCTGTCTAATTAGGAATGAAGACTAATCGTGTTTTTTCTTTTTTTTGATAGATCTTGACATTATTAGTACGGAGTAACACTAGAAATATCAAGAACTATTAAGAATTTATTATCCTATTAATCCTATTAAGAATTTAAAAATATATAATTTGTTGGACTGCAAGTCCAAAGCTTAGCACTCGTGCCTGTCTAATTAGGAACGAAGACTTATCGCGTTTTTCCACAGTAGCCAAGGTTCAA